CACTACAGCCTACAATCATATAAACATATAATGTTTGACAAAGAATGCCGGGTGAAGTTGCGTCGGTGTGGAAATTCTGATGACGAAACCAGGTATTACGTGCCCATAAAATCTTCGAGGGCGAACTCGCAGAAGTAGACCAGAAACCGAAACCAAAGTTGCCAAGTACTCGAACTGAAGCTTTTTGTCTTCACGTCGCCAGAATCGTGCAGTATCTGCAGCAGTTGCAACTGGCAGCACCTGACGTGGTTGAAATCAATGCAGTTGTCGTGGGCGGGTCGAGTGGATGGGTTTGTCGCTAGTAGAGTCGGAATGGAACCGTCCTGAAAACCTCTGGCCGTGAAATCAGGAGTGTTACGAGTGTCGTCGAAGTCGGCGATGGTCGTCGAAGCAGTAACCGTAGCGAATGTCACTCCGAAAAATATTGTCGAACACGAATCAGTGTCAGATGATGTCAGCACCTCCGGCGGGTTTGTCCATACTCGCCGAGCATGTTGTCGCAATCCGCCGATGACTCCCGGGCAGAGATGTAAAAATTACAGCTGTCTCTCCCCCCTTCCACTGTTGCTGCCGCCTCCTCCAGTTCGTCGTAAGTCGTTCATACCCCTTGAAAAGTCCGTGTAGTTCCCGCGCCGTTGCCCTGCGTAAATGTCGCGTGCGTTTAACCAAAACTCCGAAAAGTCTTCCGAAATTGTCGGCGCTTCCCGCCGTAAACCTGTAAGTCCCCACGTAAAACTCCGAAAATTTCGCTCAAAAACAACCCCGTAAAATTCGCCGTTGCAGTTGCAGTTCGCCTCCGAAATCTTCGGTCGTGCTATAGCCGCCCACTCGGTCACCATCAGTTTCCTTCGGTTTACCCGACCCCAGCATGTGGGTTAAATCGAGAACCGGGGACTGCCCTGGGTCTTCCGAGACCGAATTTCACGGAACCTAGAGGCATCAACGCCGTTGACCTCCGTAGTCGAAGCTGCTCCCGCCGATGTCGTTTAACAAAAACTCCCTGTTTCTCCCACCAGCGCTTTGCAGATGTTTCACCCATCGCTCGTCGCCGGCCGATAAGTTCCCGAAGCTACGACTGCTCCCACGCTTCCCTTTTTTGAAGAATTTCCCGAGGTGTGCGTTTAAACACCAAGGGTTTTAGGAATCCTTGCCGCTGTGTTTCTTGCCAGGCAACTTCGAAAAGCGCCCTTCAGGCGAAGTCCCCCAGCGACTCAACCGCACTCCAAGAAACACCCTTAGCTTCATAACTTTTTTTTGTCGTTTCACCCCCCGAACATTCCGCTTCCCGCCGTTCACCCAGCGTCCGCTTTTGTCGGATGGGGTATTGTCGGTGTTGCCCTGCGCGAACCCCAGCCACGGTGGAGAAGAAAAGACTATCGGAGTCGGGGTTGCCTTAGTTAAAAGGAAATCAGTCCCAACCGCTTCGCAGCCCACCGTGCCCGTCGCGCCACTAAAATTCCACAGCTTCCGGTCCCAGCTTCGCCGCTGCGCCGTCACCTCGTGTAGACGCCCGGGTCAGAGGAAACCTGTAAACTGCACCAGTGTTGTCCTGCGGCGCCCCGATTTTTTCGCGTGCTGTTTCACCCAGCCCGCTTTTGTCGGAGTAGAACAGTGCCGCAACTCCCCTTTTTTGTCTTTTCTGTACAGCTGTCGAACGGGCACCAAACCAGGTGCTTTTAACCAGCGCAGGGTAGGCTCGTGTTCACCCCCGTTATTCATCCGAATAAGGTCGACTGCATGAGTCGGAACCAGTAATCGGTGGGGATGGTGAGGTTCGGGCGAAGTAGGGCCGCAGATCGGTTCCACCGGCTTTTATCTGCTCCCCACGACGTTCTTCAACCCCCGCTTAGCCGTTGGGCAGTTTCTTCACGCGTGTCCCGGCGGCCTGCACCACACTCCGAAATTGTCGGGGTGGCACGTTGAACACCGTTTAATCGTGGGCTGTTGCGGCTGTCCCCGAAAACGACTTCCTTGAACGGGGAAACCGTCGAACAGCTGGCAAGCAGCTCCAGGCACGCAGCAACAAACGAGTATTTCTCGGGTGTTCAGTCCCGATATGCCCTCGCGCCTGCGCCCCACTCCTGCTAAGTGCGATTTAGCCACGTCGTTGTCTGTTGCAGCCCGTAAGTGTCGGCGGGTCCAAAGTTCCCGTCTGTCCACAAGCAATTCTGCTTAAAATCGTCAACGACTCGCCCGCCAGTACGGTAAGCGCCGCACTATCCGGTCGGACGGGATAAAACTCAACCCCCGCATAATTCGGGCGGCTTGAGCGTCTATCTCTCCAGCCGTCGGGATCCTCTGACGCAAAACTCCATTTGCGCCTGGCGAGTCCTTCGAGCTGCCCTTTTCTTCACAGTAGAAACCTCCGAAATTGTCGCCCATGCTGACGCAGGCCCGTTGTCGCCAGCTGCCGAAGATTCTCCCGAGAATCTCGCGCACAAGATGACGGCTTGCCATCGACGTCACTTGCCGCGTAGGGACGACTCCGAAATCTTCGCGCAACTGTTGACGCAGATCCGCCAACGCCAGCTGCCACTCGTGATGACGACGTCGATGCTGTTCGTGCAGGTGCCGACGCAGGTCCGCTGACGCAGGCTGCCACACGAATCAAGCTCCGAAATCGTCGGAAATCGCAGCGGAAATTACTCACTTTAATGTCGCGACAGCTACTGCTGCCCGTCGCCCGGGGGGAGGGAGGTCATGGTCGATCGCGACCGTCGAGCTAAGGATCTGGCGGTGCCGAAGGAGTGCCCCAGAGCAACTAACTAGTTCTCTTGGCCGGCCTACGCAACTCCTGGACCCCAAGGCATCCTTACTCGTCCCCCCCCCCGAGGGGTATTACACTCTAAAAAGCGGGGTAGGCTAGGAAAGTAGCTCTGATACCAGGTGTTATGAATGAACTTGTCAGAGTGCGCGGATATCGAATAACGAGAATGAGAAATTACAGAATGATTGAACAATGAAGTAGCGAGGCCTAAATAGGGGAAAACCTAGCTAGGCGGGGGGTTCGGGATGGGATGGCTCGGTGATGGCCACGATTGGAGCGGAGGCCGACTCGGGGGTGGTTCGGTGCGACGAAATAGGCATCGCAGGTTCTAACAACTTACTACAGTAAGGAATGTCCTCGCTAACAACTTACTACAGTAAGGAATTCTAATTCCTTACACCCTGGTCGCATGTTACTGATAGTGGTGACTGGAGTCCTTAGACGAACTGCCCCCTCCCTTAGTTTCACCAATCTGAACACGAAAAAAGTGTATCCTCGCAATAACCACGAGTGCAGTTGTCCAAACAAGCTTCACGATATCACCGAATGACCAGAGAATAAAAGAAACATAACGACAATGCTCATGTTTGCCGAACGACGGTCCCATACTGCCCGTGGCGAGTTTGGCAGAGGAAGGCGAAAAATTGATTGGGTTTCAGTTCAGTTCATTCAAAAAGTTAGGGTGGGTGAAGGGACTGGGTGTAGAAACTTGACTAGCATTTCCCCCTTGGAGGCCCACTCTCTCATTTCACTTGCACTAGGTGTAGAACCTTGACCTTCGAAATCCTTCATTGCATTGCCTCATCGTCCGCACGGTAGACTCCTTAGCACGTATGTCGACTTGCCTACGACTGCAGGTCCCTTCAATGGCCTGCGGTAGGTACGGTATTGCCGTGCGGCCGGCAATATCCGCTGAGCTGACCCTTTTTCTTGCACCGCACAAGTTTTTCTCGGCCGGAGGTTTTCTCGCTCGCCGCACGTGAGAGACGAGACGCTTTAATTTTCCCGCTGGTACAACCTTGAAGTGTACACCCACTGCCACTGCCACTGCCATTGCCACTCATTCATGGGTGGAATGCCTTGTTTCCCAGGCAAACGACAACGTTCACTATTTGAAAACTGTCGTTTCCCGTTTTTAATATCGCGTGAAAGGCGAGAGATTTGAACCCCAGGTCTTCCTTTCACTACACGCCCTTGAATTCACTGTTCTTGGACGACTACATTCTCGGGCTAACAACAACGTCACGTTGCAACATTGTCGTTTCCCGTGAGAAATATCAGAAGTCTCTTTCGGTTGTGGTTGACGGATGATGCTCGGTTAGGGTTCTTCAGCCGCTCATAGGTCCTAGTAGGCCTTTCAGCCAGTCGTTTTGATGCAAAATCGGATTGGGTGGCTCGTGCGATCAAGACCGTGATAGGGTAATCCACGCAGCCAATGACAGCATCGCATGTACCTGGTCATCCGCGTATACACAGCTGTCACGTTAGTAAGGTGACAGAAGTGGGGGGCGTCGCTAGTGCATGTCGTGTACTGCCCGGCGCGGCAAAGCAGGCGGTGCGGAAAGTCGCGCCACCCTTCCGCGCATTCCTCTCGTCTCTAGTCAGGTTGATCTTGACTCTGCGGGCAAACTCGCGTACGTACGACAACACATGTAGGTCTCATGAGCAATTTTGCGGCGCATGGATTCGGCTCCGCAGGGTAGAGGCCTTGTCGCTCCCTCCGTGCGGCCCACATGCGACACAGCCCCAATCCTCCGATCCGCGTGCGCAGCTCCCATATCCTCCCATCCGCGGGGTCGCAGCTCCCTTTTCCCCCCCTCCCCACCTCCATCCCCCCCCCTCCCATCCGCGGGGGCCCTCCCCTTCTCTCGACTCAACTCTTCACGACCTTCTGCGATTGAAGCACCGCATCATTCGCCTCACCATGATACACCGGCGCGTTATCCCGCCATCAAGGGGGCAGTCTCTCCCCCTCAGGGAAAAAAGGCTTCTCCCTTCCCGTCGCCCTCTCGGAAGGGGAAGGGGAAGGGGAAGGGAAGGGGAAGAAGACGGTCAGTATCATCCATCCTTCATACGGTACATAAGCCGTTCGGCTTTTCCTTTCCACGCATCGCCGCTCCTTCCACTCCTCTCGTGACTCGCCACGGCTGAGCCCTCGGAGGCTCATCGTCTCTCATCGGCGCATCACCTCTGGCAGCTCTGCTGCTGCTGGTGCTTCCGGCTCATCAGCATCATGGCTTCGCACAGCGTGCCTGTGACGCGGAGCTTGGGCCTCGTGCTCGCTGCACTGGCTGTTGTCATGCTCTCAGGTGTGCCCTCGTGCTCTTGAGTCTGCTATCAGGTTCTCCCTCCTCCTGTTCCCCCCTCCCCCCCTCTTCCCCACATTCGCGTTTCCCCATTCATCTCCTCCCCTTAAGCCTCCTTCCCTTCTCATTCCATTCTCCTTCCGCTCTTCCCCTTTCCCCCTCTCCCCCATGCGCGCTCAGCCTGTGCGCCCAGGGCTGCCGCCATTCGCCATTCGCACGGCCTGCTGACAGCTGCTTCAAGCAACGCCGCCGACCGTAAGTCACCCGCCTAACTTCACCACCGCCTCAACGCACCCCTTGCCCGTCTTCTTGCCCTCAACCCCTCAATGGGTATGACGGACGCTGACTCCTTTCTGCTCCTGCTCTCGCCACTCTTTTTATTCCATATTCCATCCCATATTCCAATCTTTCGACCACTCCCATATTCCAATCTCTCGGCCACTCCAGTCTTGTCTTGAAAGATCATTTGTTGTCAGGCGGATCACTCTCACCTCTCGTTGCTCTCCACGTGTGCACGCTCCGTCTCGCCTGTTCATCATCTCGTTTTTCCTCTCCTCATCACCTTCCTCTCTGTTCCTTTTCTTCTGGATCCTCTCTTTCTCTCTGGTTGCTCTGTGAAATGTCCGCCAGACTCGTGTGTGCAGCGCAACTGCGGCGCCAATGCGGTGTGCGTGAAGGACAGGGGCAGCGCCACCTGCGTGTGCAACATTGGATTTTCCATGACCCCCACCGGCTGTGTTGGTGAGTCAGTGCCGCTGCTGGTGAGTGCTGCTCATCACCACGGCCCTGTTAGAGCGTCATGATTTTAGACAGAGGCTTGTCACGTTGGCAGTACTTTCCTTCATCTGTTGTTCTTAATCTCTCCTCTCGCCCAACTCCTTCCCCTCTCCCCCCCTTCTCCAGACACATGCGCGCTCAAGGCGTGTGGCAGCAACGGCAAGTGCATCAAGGACAGTGCTGGAGTGGCGTCCTGCGTGTGCAACACTGGCTTCGTGCTGCAGGCTGACAAGGTTACATGCACTGGTGCGTATGTGCTGATGTGTGACTGCGAGAAGCCACGCAGTGGTTGGTGTGGATGTGCTTGTGATTGCACAGCAACAGATGATATCGCCCCCCCGCTCTATCTCGACGTTATCTGCTTCCTAACCTCTTTCACCGTTCATAACTCGATAGTACAGCATGCCCTTCTTACTCACAACTCTTCCACCTTTCTTCCTGCCTCGTTCCTTTCCTCCCCACTCACTGTGCCTTCTACTCTTCCCTTGGCAGACACGTGTGTGCTCAAGAAGTGTGGGGGTAATTCCAAGTGCGTGAAGAGCGCTGCAGGAGTGGCGTCCTGTGTGTGTGACACTGGCTTCGTGCTGCAGCCTGATGGCGTCACGTGCACTGGTATGTGTCATGCCATATGCCTTATCCTCTCCCGTATAGGTGATCCCTTGTCCTGTGCCATGTGCCATGCCTTGTACCATGGCTTTTGATATGCCGTGGACCATGCATTCAAGTGTCATGCTCATGCATTGTCAGGAGATCTGTCAGAGCGTGTCAAGGCTTGTTATTCGGGCAGTTCGTTGCGTTCCCATCTCTGCTCATTCTTACTCTAACCTCATTCGCTCTAACCCCCCTCACCCGCCCAACCCAACTCCCTCCCCTTTGCGCCCTTTTCCCAGACACATGCGCGCTCAAGGCGTGTGGCGTCAACGGCAAGTGCATCAAGGACAGTGCTGGAGCGGCGTCCTGTATTTGTGACCCTGGCTTTGTGCTGCAGGCCGACAAGACTACATGCACTGGTGCGTTCGTTGTGCTGTTGTGTGAGTATAAAGCGGTTCCATGCCGTTCCAGACCTCCTCACTCGTGATCCTTGTAGCTGGCTCAAGACTCAGGAATGGCATGGCATGCCCTTCATCCCCGCATGTTTTTGACACACATGCGTGCAAAGTCTCCATCCTTGGTTCCTTCACGCACATGGCACCTCGTAAGCAAGGCTTGTCTGTACCGTACCACCAACTCTGTCTTTTACCCTTCTCTTCTTTGGCAGACACGTGTGTGCTCAAGAAGTGTGGGAGTAACTCCAAGTGTGTGAAGAGCGCTGCAGGAGTGGCGTCCTGCGTGTGTGACACTGGCTTCGTGCTGCAGCCTGATGGCGTCACATGCACCGGTATGTGCCATGCCATATGCCATACCCTCTTCCCTGCAGGAGATGCCTTGTGCTGTGATGCCCTGTGCCATGCCATGGACTATGCAGTCCAGTAGCCTTGTCAGAGGGTTTCAAGGCTTGTCGTCTGGGCAGTCCTTTCTCATGACTAGCCATTCATAGTCGCCCCTCAATAGGCTCAACCAACCTCACTCGCCTAAACTCCCTCCCATGTCGCCCCCTTTCCCCAGACACATGCGCACTCAAGGCGTGTGGCGTCAACGGCAAGTGTATCAAAGACAGTGCAGGAGTGGCGTCCTGCGTGTGTGGCACTGGCTTCGTGCTGCAGGCTGATGGCGTCACATGCACCGGTATGCCATGTGCCATGCAGTGTGAGATGTCATGTGCCATGCCTTGTGAGATGCCGTGTTCTACTCCATGTAATTCTCTGCGCTACTCTGGCTGTTGCTGTGATTCCTCCTAATTTCATGCCCCCTCTTCCCTTTTTTTCTGCCTCTCTCCCCACCCAGACACCTGCAAGATTCAGAACTGTGGTGTGAACGGCACGTGCAACAAGGACAAAATTACTGGAGCGGCGTCCTGTGTGTGTGACACTGGCTTTGTGCTGCAGGCTGATGGCGTCACATGCACTGGTGAGTGCCATGCTTTGAGAGATGCCATGGGAATTGCCATGTGCCATGTGCCATGCCTTATGAGATGCCGTTTTGTGCTTCAACGTGCTAAGTACTGCAAGTGCCATGCTGATGCGCGCCAGTACTTGATAACAGAGGCACACCAGTCTTGCATCAGTCTTATCAAGTGAGGGGCTGTTGTGAATCATGTGCCTCTCTCTTATTCTTTTCCCTCTCACCCCACGCGTTCCCCCCTGCTGTACGCTCGCCCAGACACATGTGTGCTCAAGAAGTGCGGCGTCAACGGCAAGTGCATCAAGGACAGTGCTGGAGTGGCGTCCTGCGTTTGCAACGTTGGCTTTGCTCTGCAGCTCGACGGTACCACATGCACTGGTGCGTGCTGTGCAGTGCAACACAACCTGTGCAAGGGTGTGTGTGTTGAACCTTTCAGGTTTGCTGTATCATTAGTCTCACTAGCTCTCTATTAGCATTGCATGTCCCTCTCTCCTTCCCTCTACTCTCTCCTTCACTTCCCTCTTGCATTTCCTCACTGCCTTCTCTCCTTCCCACCCTCCATTCTCTCACTCTCCCTCCTCCCGCCGCCCATTCTCATCCGTTTTGTTCGTGCCTCCTTTCAGATACGTGCGTCATCAAGAACTGTGGTGCCAATGCTGCTTGTGTGAAGGATGGTGAAGGCGTTGCATCCTGTGTTTGCAACACGGGCTTCCAGATGGTCAAAGGCCTTTGCGTTGGTACGCATCATCTTTCCGACTAGCCAAATAATTGTTCTCGATTCCCTCTCCCACTCCTCACTCCTCCGCTCCTCCTTCCCTCTCTCCTTCCCTCCACCACTCCCCCCTTTATTGATCTCACGTCTGTACTCACACTCGTCTGCACGTCTCTTCTCACACTCCTCTTTATTGCTCTCTCCTTGTTCACGTCCCTCCCACACCATTCTCGCCCATTTCCTCTATCCCTCACTCTTCCCCTTCCCCATCCCTTCCCCACCCAGACACCTGCGAGATCCAGAACTGTGTGCGCGGCTGGTGCATCAAGGACCAATTTGGAGCGGCGTCCTGTGAATGTAGCATTGGCTATGTGCTGCAGGCGGATAACAGGACGTGCAAAGGTATGTTGTGAAACTGCTGTGTGCTACTCCATGTGATTCTGTGCGCTACTCTGTATGCTGATGTGGTTCCTCCTAATTTCATGTCCCTTCTACACCATCCTCGCCCATTTCCTCCACTCCTCACCCCTCCGCTCTCTCATCCCTCATCCCCTCTCCCATCACTCAGACACCTGTGACATCAAGGACTGTGTGTATGGTGGGTGCATGAAGGACGGACTTGGAGTGGCGTCCTGCGTGTGTCAAGATGGCTTTGCGCTGCAGGCGGATGGCAGGACGTGCATTCGTACGTGTTGAACCTCCTGTGCGCTGCTGCTCTGTGCTGTTGCGTGCTACTCTGCTTTCTTTCTTGCGCTACTCTGTGTGTGTGCTGCTGAGGTTCCTCGTAAATTTAAGTTCTCCCGATCCCTCCTCTGCCTTTTTATCTGTCCACCACCTCCCCCCTCCCCCCCCCCCCCCCCCCCCCCCCCGCCCCGCAGATGTTTGTGTGATCCAGAACTGTGGTGTCAACGGTCATTGTGTTCCTGCTGGTAACACGGCTACCTGTTTGTGTGACCCTGGCTTTTTGCTGCAGGAGGATGGCAGGACGTGCAAGGGTACGTGATGAAACTGCTGTGTGCTGCTCTATGTGCTTCTTTCTGATTTTTGCTACTCTATGTGATTCTGTGTGCAGTGGGCTGCTCTATCTGACTCTGTGTGCTTCTGTGCGCTTCTCTGTGTGCTGCTGTGGTTGCTTATAACTTCATGTCCCCGCTCCCCTCTTTTCTGCCTCACCCCCCACGCAGATGTTTGTGAGATCCAGAAATGTGGTGCCAACAGCCAATGCTTTCGTGGCAGCGACGGCGCTTACTGTGTGTGTGCTCCGGGTTTTGTGCTGCAGCCGGATAACAGAACGTGCATCAGCGCCCCACCTGCACCCGGTGGGTGATGCTACCTTCAAGTGCTTCTGTGCTGCTTATTACGCCAATGGTTTCACTGATATCACGAAGTATCTTGGCGTCTTCAATCTTTAACCCCACTGCCCCTCATTTCACGTCCCGTCCACTCCACCCCTCTCCCCTCTGCGCCTCCTCTAACCCTCTCCACTTCAGACAGCACTGTCTGAAGAGCTATGGTGTGAACAAGCACTGTGAACAACACAGTCCCCTCTACACCATCCTCGCCGATTCCTCCACTCCACTCATCACTCACTCCACTCCCCCATCCCTCTGCCCACCAGACACCTGCGTGGCTCAGGAATGTGGTGTGAACGGCCGGTGCATCAAGGACGACTCTGGAGCGGCGTCGTGTGTGTGTGAATCCGGCTTTGTGCTGCAGGCGGATGGGAGGACGTGCACTGGTACGTGCTCAACCTTCCGGCTTTGCGCTGCTCCGGATCTTGCTGGGCTCTTTGAGATTATGTCCTGTTGTGTGCTACTCTGTTTTCTCCTTTTTCTCTCTTCTCTGTGTGCTGCTGTGTTTCCTCGTAGATTCATGTGCCCTCCACCCCGTCTCCCTTCTTTTCTGCCTCGCCCTCCACCCCCCGGCACGCAGATGTCTGTGAGATTCAGAACTGTGGTGCCAACGGCCATTGCTTTCCTTCCGGTGACGGGGCTGTCTGCGTTTGTGACAAGGGCTTTGTGCTGCAGGACGATGGCAAAACGTGCACTGGTACGTGATGAAACTGCTGTGTGCTACTCTTTGTCATTCTGTGCTCTGCTCTGTGCTGCTGTGCGCTACTCGGTGTGCTGCTGCGATTGCCCCGAAATTCTTATCTCCTCTCCCCTCTTTTCTGCCTCCCCCGCCGGGCAGATGCCTGTGTGACCCAGAACTGTGGTGCCAACAGCCAGTGTGTGCCCATGCTGAACGGGGCTTACTGCCTGTGTGACGACGGCTTCCAGTTGCACTCAGATTCCACGACGTGCCTGCGCCCCGCACCTGCGCTCATCGAGTGTGCTCCGGGTTACCAGCTGCAGTCGGATGGGTCGTGCTTCCGGCCTGTGACCGAGTGTCCCCCGGGTTGGGAGCTGCAGAATGATATGTGTGTCTTGACGCAACCTCCACCTGGAGAAATTGGTGGGTGGTGCTAGCTTGACTTGACATGCGGATGTGCTGCCCCCAGTGCCGTTGGCTTTACTGCTCTCATGCGATCCCATCATCTCGTTTGAAGTATCTTGTCGCCTTCACCTTGAATCCCACCATCCCTCATTTCACGTCCCCACCACCCCTTTCCCCTCTGCGCCACCTCTACCCCCACCCAGTGACCTGCTCCATGACTTGCAATGGTCCGAACCAGCACTGTGACGAATATCAGATATGCGTGTGTGACGATGGTTTCGAGATGCAGTGGGATGGGTCGTGCGTCTTCTACCAACCTCCACCTGACGACATCTACTACAGTGGGTGCTGCTAGCCTCAAGTGCTGCTGTGCTGCCTCCAATGCCATTGGTTTCACTACTCTCGTTCCTTCCCAACATCTCGCTTAACATGTCTTGCCTTCTTCAATCCTGAACCCCACCACCCCTCATATCACGTCCCCTCCCCCCCTCTTCCCTCTTGTCTGACTCTCCCCCCACGCAGATCCCTGTAACAACCTGAACTGTGGTTCTTTTGGCGAGTGTATTCAATCTAGTCTTACCGCGGCTTACTGTCAGTGTATCTCGGGTTATGAGATGCAGAATGGGGAGTGCGTGCTGCAGAACAGCCAAGGTCCACTTGATGCCGGTGCGTGATGCAAGCTTGACGTGCTGCTGTGCTGCCTCCAGTGCCATGCCTTCACTGCTCTCATGCGTTCCCACGTCTCGCTTAACATGTCTTGTCGTCCTCACTGCCTCTCCCCCCACACAGATCCCTGTAACACCCTCAACTGCGGTGATAACAGCCAATGTAAACGTGATGGTAACGCGGCCACCTGTGTGTGTGTCGATGGTTACGAGATGCAGAATGGGGCGTGCGTCTCCATCCCACCTCCAGCTGCAATCGGTGGGTGATGCTAGCTTGACTTGACGTGCTGCTGTGCTGCCTCCAGTGCCATGCTTTCAGTACTCATGCGTTTCGAGCATCTCGCTCGATATGTCTTTTCGTCTTCAATCCTAAACCCCAGTACCCCTCATATCACATCCCCTCCGCCTCTCTCCCCTCTTTTCTCCCTCTCTCCCCACGCAGTGCGCTGTTCCTCCATGGACTGTGGTCCGAACAGTTCATGCTTAGATTATCCTGACAGGTCTTTCTGTGATTGTGCCTACGGTTACAAGATGCAGAATGGGCAGTGCGTCTACAACCCCCCTCCAGCTGGTGGGTGATGCTAGCTTCAAGTGCTGCTGTGCTGCCTCCAGTGCCATGGCTTTCCTGCTCTCATTTCATGCGTTCCCAACATCTCTTGTCGTCTTCACTCTTGAACCCAACATCCCTCATTTCACGTCCCTTCAGCCCATCTCCCCTCTGCGCCGCCTCTAGTGCGTGCAGCTGTTATCTAGTGCGTGCTGCTGTGCTGTTGTGCTGCCGTGCTGTTGTGCTGCCGTGCTGTTGTGCTGCCGTGCTGTTGTGCTGCCGTGCTGTTGTGCTGCTGTGCTGTTGTGCTGCTGTGCTGTTGTGCTGCTGTGCTGTTGTGCTGCTGTGCTATTGTGCTGCTGTGCTGTTGTGCTGCTGTGCTGTTGTGCTGCCTCTAGTGTGTGACGGTAGCTCCTGCATAGGTTTTTCATGCCTCCTTGTTGAATCCTTCCCCTGCCCTTCCTGCCCGAGCCTCGTATCAATTCTATTTCGGTTTAATGTGCTACAGTGTCATGGTCACTCAGCTGTCACACAACATGTTTCTTTCTACGTTCACCCACCCTTGGTCCCACTATTCGTGTCTCCATCTGCCACGCTCTTTCACCCCAACTCCTTTCCAGACGACTGCTACTGGTGCGGCATGATGGACTTCAACTTCTTCGGATGGTAGAGCTTTGCGTAAGTTTCACACGTGTTGGTAGAGGTTTGCGTGTTGAGGAATCAACGCTAATTTTATCCCCTTCACATCTTACGCCATCCTCTTTCTCACACCATATCGCCATCAGCTGTTCCACAATACGTATGTACCTTTCTACATCCACCCACCTCTTCTCTCTCTCGAATGGTCCTTGTATTGATTGATGGGTGGTACACGGGGAGATGCAAACACATGCATAACAAACAAGCTTCCTATCGAATACCTATCCTCTACACACTCCCGCCCCCTTCCGTCCGACCCTAATGGTGTCTCTCTCTCTCTCTCTCTCTCTCTCTCTCTCTCTCTCTCTCTCTCTCTCTCTCTCTCTCTCTCTCTCTCTCTCTCTCTCTCTCTCTCTCTCTCTCTCTCTCTCACACACACACACACACACACACACACACTTTCTCACACTATCGCTCCCTTTCTCTCTCTCTCCCTCTCTCTCTCCCCCTAACCCCTAAACAGAGAATTACTTATAATTGCCGTGAGGCAAATTCACTATCGGGATGACACTTCAACCGTGACGACACATCTTCATCGCTCATCAGCCACTCCACCCTCATCAGCCACTCCACGCTCATCAGCCACTCCACCTTCATCACCCAGTCCCGTCGTCCATACAGCCACTCCCATCATCCCATCATCTAGTCTTCAAGCAGTTTTTTTCCTGCAAATAGGGCACAGCGGGCCAAGGGGCCAAGGGCATAAATTGTGTGCATCAGGACTGCCCCTGTTTGAGTGTCTCTGAAGGGGGCAATATTTCCATGGACATGAGTGCAATGCATCAGTTGCATGGCTTTTTTTTTCTTCTTCTTGTTTTCTTGTTGCTTTAGGCCAATAGTGATGTGTGTTGGTTGCTTTTGTTTGTTTCCTGTGGGGATGCTTTTAGCTATAGTACATCTCAAGGGAATGTACCCTTCAGAGTACATGACTGGCTAGAATGTGCTCGTATCTGTAGTGATGATTCTGATTGAAGATTCTGCTTGTTTTCTTTGTGTTGTCCATGAGTTGGTGATTCCGATTTATGACAAAATAAAAAGTTGGAAGCATTGCAGTTGCTAGTTTTGCCCACCGTAGCCTACCCTATCTGCCTCCTAGCACGCCCCTAGGCTGTCCCCGCCCCGAGCACGCCAGCCCTTGCGCCACCAGCCACTCTTTGCCTGCATCCAGCCCGTTATAGAGCCCACCATAGGGCGCAGCCCGCAGCCCACCAGCACGCAGTTGCTCGCTACGCAGCCCGCCAGTCAGCCGTCACACCAGTGTGCAGCCCGCCAGCCAGCCGTCACACCAGTGTGCAGCCCGCCAGCCAGCCGTCACACCAGTGTGCAGCCCGCCAGCCAGCCGTCACACCAGTGTGCAGCCCGCCAGCCAGCCGTCACACCAGTGTGCAGCCCGCCAGCCAGCCGTCACACCAGTGTGCAGCCCGCCAGCCAGCCGTCACACCAGTGTGCAGCCCGCCAGCCAGCCGTCACACCAGTGTGCAGCCCGCCAGCCAGCCGTCACACCAGTGTGCAGCCCGCCAGCCAGCCGTCACACCAGTGTGCAGCCCGCCAGCCAGCCGTCACACCAGTGTGCAGCCCGCCAGCCAGCCGTCACACCAGTGTGCAGCCCGCCAGCCAGCCGTCACACCAGTGTGCAGCCCGCCAGCCAGCCGTCACACCAGTGTGCAGCCCGCCAGCCAGCCGTCACACCAGTGTGCAGCCCGCCAGCCTGCCGTCACACCAGTGTGCAGCCCGCCAGCCTGCCGTCACACCAGTGTGCAGCCTGCCAGCCAGCCGTCACACCATTGTGCAGCCCGCCAGCCTGCCGTCACACCAGTGTGCAGCCCGCCAGCCTGCTGTCACACCAGTGTGCAGTCCGGCAGCGCGCGCTCCGTCAACGTGTAGCCCGCCAGCCAGCACACCAGCAAGCATCTCGCCAGCGCACGCCCGTCCAGAGCGCAGCCCGCCAGCCAGCAGCCCGTTAATGCGCAGCACACCAACGTACAGTTCCGTAAGCGCGGCGCCCTGCCAGCATTGTCCATCAACAGCACGCGCCCCTCGCGCCAGCACCAGCTACAACCACGCTAACAGCAGATGCACTAGCAACAGCCCCCAATATAGCCGCACCATCCCTAGCTACAGTAGCGCCAACCCCAGCCGCACTAGCGGACCAAGTTTAGCACTCTTGCCCTGCCGTCGAACTCCAGGGTGGTGTCACGGGTGTTGGCGAGGTAAGAGAGGCACCGGTCGACGTCGCGCCAGTGCTGGTCGCTCCTCACCGTCAGGCTGTCCCAAGCTTGCTGCAGGCAAAGGCGATGTCCTACCTTGTCGTCATTACCGCGAATTGCAGCGAGTCGACCTTCTGCCGGTACTCCTCCTCCTCGCGCTCCTGAGCCTCTTCATCGTCAAACATGAGCTCGGCGTAGGCGTCGACGGAGACCGGCGTCTTCAGGATCCGCCCAGTATGTTCCTCGTCGATGAAGCGCCTACGCAGCTTGTCGACGTAGCTCTGGTGGTGCAGCCACAGCTTCCTCGCTGGCCTGTCGCACACGATCTCCAGCCCGAGGTACTTCACGCCCAGCGAGATCTCGCGAAGCTCGAAGGCGGCATCCAGCAGCTCCTTCAGCTCCCTTAGTATCGCAGTGCTGTTGCTGGGGCGGCGAGTAGGTCTTCGACGTAGACCAACACCCAGCAGGTCACACTGTTGTCGCCGACCTTGAAGTAGAGTGGC